GCAGTCTATATTAAAGTTTTCAAGAGCTCCAACCAGACTGGTTTCAGATCCCAGCTCTATCATTTATTGGCTGTGTGACTTTGGGCAAGTTACTTAACCTGTCTGTTACTTTTCCCTTATAAAAAGCAGATAGTAAATATTTCTAATGCACAGGACTGTTGTGAGGATTAAGTGAATACCCATAAAATGCTTTTAATGGTGCCTGTCACAAAGTAGGTGCTCAAAAAGGTCAGCCATGGAGATCCTTGAGTCACACCCCCTTCATTTTCATAGGGGAGGGCCCTAGGGCCAGGTCCCAAGGCAAACAGATACCAAGGATTAGACAGGACTGTACTTACAGCCAGCACTGGTCATAGCGCACTGTTATCCCACTGTGCGGCCCATCTCTAAGGCACAGGGAGCCTCGTGTGGATGCAGGAGTGCTGTGGACCTGAGTAGTGCAAGAAGAAAGGCGTCTTCTGGGGATTTAGCATTTTAATGCCTGGAAGAGCCTCCAGGATATAGCAAAGCCTCCCTGCTGGGTGGAGGAGGGTCAGGAAGGATCAAGGTATAGCCCAAATCCTGAACTTTGCACAAACACCACCTCACCTACTATTCCTGATTACCTTGTGTTCCCTTCCTGAGCAACAAGGAGACCGAGGCCCCAAGAGCCCATAGCTACATGGTAAGAATGGTGTATGGGGATGGGAGCCCAGACATCTTGCCTCCCTGCCCATGGCTCTTTCAGCATCCTTCCCAAAGATGTCAGCTTGCTGGCCTCTGGCTGTCCTGTTTGCCACCCAAGACTAGGACCCAGTCCACCCTCTCAAGCCCAGTTGCCCCCTATTCCAAACAATGCCCTGAAATCTCAGGCTTAGGGGACACAGGGTTCCAGAAGACTCAACCTCCTAAAGGGATATAAACCCTGTAACCTCCAGTCCTTCCCACAATTACTGAAACATGTCAGATGTAGTCTAATAAACATAGCCACCATAATACTCGGAGCTGCAATTACTCCTTATGCCATCCTAGGTTCTATGTTGTCCTCTCCTTTTAATATAATACTATTTGTCATTAGTGGCTTATTTTACATTGCTCCAGACAATGTATAACCCAAACCAGGCCAAGCTATAGGCTCTGTATCTCAGAACCCACCCCACCAGAGGCAGCTGACAGCCCATTATTCTGTGTCCTGCAAACTGTGCAGTGATAAGGAAACTCCACCAGTGCGATGCTTTATCTGGTTGCAGGTTGAGGAAAGATATTATTTCAATCAAGATAATGATTCTATTTCTTGAACGGAAATGAGATTTTTTTTTTCATTGCCTCATGGGGGTACCACCCAAATCTGTCTTGAGGCTGGAACAGGTCATGCACAAGTTAGAGGATTTTCTTGCAACCCTTGAGAGAGAATGTAAACATGAAGAACGGAGAGAAGGGAGCTTATTTGCAAGAGAAAAACATACACACCAGGTCTGCAAGATTATAGGCATTAGACAAAACCTTCAAAACCAAAATTCAGAAGATCAGTGCACAGTGTGAGCTTCATAGCCTGGAATCCACGCGAAGTAAATGGCCCATAAAGGCAACGATGATCACAAAGGCACACAGACTAGATACTAGATTCAGCTATGGCAGGACCTTAGAAGTCTTCTAAGCCTGCCTGTTGTGTAGATGACCTAGCTACTGTTTGAACATCTCCTCCCACAGGGAGCTCACCAACAGAGGAGTCCGTCCTACCTCTGACCAGCTCCTTTACTGAGACAGTACCTCCAAATTAGAGTTGAGTCACTTCATTAAAGGCAACCACAGCGAGATTCACAAGGTAGAATGCTGACAAGGCAGTAGATCTAACACACTTTGGAAAGAATGCATGATTCAGTAGGTCATTAAATAATGTGCAAATGATGTCAGATGATAAAAGTAGGGAAACCTGTATAATTTGCACTAAATAGTGAATTTAGTGAAATTTTAAATTACTTTAAATAATTTAAATATGTGAGAATTCCAAGGGCTACAATACACTAGCTCAAACTATGTGTCATGTGCTTTAAATAGTAATAATTATTATTTGTGGCCAGGTGTGGTGGTGTGTACCTGTAATCTCAGCTACTCAGGAGGCTCAGGCAGGAGGACTGTTTGAGCCCAGGAGTTTGGGTTGCAGTGAGCTATGGTCATACCACTGCCCTCCAGCAGTGGTTGAAAGAGCAAGACTCTGTCTCCAAAATAATAATAATGATGATAATAATAATACACAATTATTATTATTTGCGATTGGAAATAATTTACAATTCTTTTATCAATTGTTTACACAGTAACTCTAAGGAACCTGGAAACATTAGTAAATAAAGTTTTTACGCATTTTAAACATTCTGCTGATAACTGACTCGGGCTATGAATTGCTCTCTCTCCAAAGCAAGGGCATATTCCAGCTCAACCCCTCTGGAAGAGCCCCAGTTTCTGACTCTGGAGGCCTGGGAAGATGGCATCTTCCTGTACTGCATCAGTTTCGCCAAAGCTTTGGAAAGCTATGGTGTGCACAGACTGTCCCTGGAAAGTAATGCAAGACTATCACCGTCAACACTGCTGTCTAGAACAGGAGTCTGCTTCAGGCTACCGGTGGGGAGGCGGCTTTTTATATAACAGTCTACCTTTTTATATTTTTGAATTTAGAGCCACAGACTATATTATCTATTAAGAATAAACTTGCAGTTAAAAAAGCATGTGTTGTTTTGAGTAAAAACCGGCTTTCACATTATGACTTCCATTCCAATACCTAGACTCTTAAAATGCAAACTTGCTACAATGAAAATTATTGCCAGGTCAGGTGAGAACGACAGTTGCCTGTCTTCATAACAGTGGTGCTCGCAGGCATGACAGTAAATGCACCCGAGGTCCTCTGTCCCTACTGGGGCACCCACTCCCCAGCTGCTAAAAGTGTGGCACCCAGTGTTCACCTGTGACACTCTCTTGTCCTTTGCTCTTGGTTGAGATGATGCCTTGGAGGGTGCACCTCCAGCAACACTCTGGGGGTGGCTGATGACAAATAAGGGGCACACAAGCCCTGCCCCTTGCCTCCAAACCAGACATCACTGTAATGTATGATGCAGACCAAGCCCAGGAGTGATCTGCCCTGAGACCACATCCTCGTTCACCTCCCCCTTCTCCAGCTTGTTTCCCTTTCTCCCTGGATGCACCATCACGTGCATCTGAAACCTTGTCTCAGCCTCTGCTTTAGGGGGAACCCAACCCAAGTCAGTCATCAGGGGCTCCAAAGGAAGCCCTTCAGCGTCTTCCCAGAGAGTTGTCCCTAGAGTTAGACACACACATGAGCCTTCCTCTTTGAGTACAGAATCATAACTACCATCTTACCTTGGCAAAGACCTCCAGCCTGACAGTACACAGCAAGATCAGAATGCTAACATCCCAGAGAAGATTCTGACATCCATACCCCATGGAACAGCATGACAATTACTCTTCCACTCAAGAATGAATGAGGAGAGGCAGGGGCCAATCCACTGTAACCCACTATGCCACAGTCAGAGAGAGAGATCTCCAGTTACCTGCAGCACAGAGTCAGTGCAAATGTCTTAGGCAGCTCCACTGCTTGTTAGCTTTGTAAACTGGAGCAAATATTTAATAACTCTGAGCCTCAATTTCCCCATCTGCAAAATGGGAATATCTGATAGTCTTTGTAAAGTTCCTATGAGGCAACACCTCAACTGCTACAAATCAGCAATGCTATGTGAATATTGGTGGCTGTTACTGAGATTTCGAAATAGTTTCCCATGCTCACTGAGAACAAATAATAAATTAATCTTTGTTAAATAAATAAATCTCAGTTGCCACTCATCATAAGCACAGTTCTTAGAGCTCCTTGAAAAGCAGCTCTGGGGAAGAGCCAGTAGACAGCTGAGAACACTGTCTTGACTGTCCAGATGTGGCCCCACCACTGGTCTCATAGGGCTCTGATGGCATTCAGCTGCTGCCATCTGGCAAAGGGTGTGTGTGTGTGTGTGTGTGTGTGTGTGTGGTATGTGACAGAGAGATATGGAGGGAAGGTCCCAAATGTGAATTTCCTGCAATCTGTCCAGTTTATATACTGATATCAAATATAACACCAAGTCTGATGAAAAATCCATGTAGCCATTTTCATGTGATAGAGTAACAGACAAACAGGCGGGAATTTGATTTTATTGACAGATGAGGGATCCTTCATTCCATATTGATTCTTTGCATCTGGACCATTCATGAAGCCATTCAAGTCTTTCACCTGATCCTGCCCAAACTCCCTGGCATGTTCTCCCCTCCCCCATCAGACCCAGACCTATACTATCCTCTACACAGGCTTCTGCCCCTGTTTCTGCCCTGCTTCAGAGCCTCCTTCTTCCATTGGCCCAGTGCAAGCCTCTCCTTTTCCAGAAAGTCTTATCTAACTGTGCCTCATCACCAGCCAGAGCTGGACCACACACCCCTTCATAAAGTTCTTCAATTGTCTTGTGTGCAGGAATCTTCTTGTCCACACCAGACTGAAAGCTCCTCCAAGATAAAGCTCAGGCCTGATGCTTCTCTTGGAGTTCTCAGAGCCACCAAGTAATGCCAGGCACCTGGTGATGTTCTCAGATTGATGAATGGACAGATACATACAATTGCTCTTAGTTTAACATGCTATTAAAAGGCCTATATGAGAATTTACTGTTCTTAACAGTTTGTGCAATCTGGGTGAAAAAATGCACCTCTCTCCTTTCCCCAACGGAGCCCTGCTCTTCCACACACCAATCAATGACATCAGAGAGTGGCTGTTCTCCACTCAGAAGGCAGAGCCACGGTTCAAACCATCCTCCTTCAACGAGATGCCTTACGTGTGTGAGTCTAGCCCCACCCAGCAAGGGGCACCTTCAAGATGAAGGACCAAAAGCAGATTCCGTCCAGGTCATGTCCCTTCCCCTAAGAGGGAAACCCACTCACTGCCCAGGAACACTGTTAAGCCACAGAACTGAAAAAGCAAAATTCATACTCACAAGCACCGACGCCTTAGTCTTAAATTTCAGGCCACCAGTTCTGCCAACCTGCTCATTTCCTGCAAAAAGAAGAAAGGGTCGGAGAATCACATTAGCATCTGCTCTGGGTATCCTTTGGCGGTTTCCTGGCTGACCTAGGGCTTCTGCATACTCTCTGCATTCTCACTCTCACAGACACTCTCCCCTCCCTGAGTGCTAGTTGGGTGGGCGCCCCTCACTCCTTGCAGGATCACAGCCCTCCAGGCCCATGGGCTCGGCCCACACTGCCTGCCTCCCTCCCCTCCCCGGCGCTGTGCCAGTCTCAGATTGACCACTGCCTCCAATTCCCTGAAGGCGCTTCAGCTTCTTCCCACTCCAGAGTGAGGCCTCCACTTCTGTAGCATGGGGTTGCCTAGCAACCCTGCGCGCGCGCTCGCAAGGCCCTCCTAAATTGGACCTCACAGCACAGGGCATCTCCTTGTACAGCTGCCTGCATCTTAACAATCTGGCTCTGAATAATAACACAATGATAATTGCATTCATGGACCCCAAACTACATTTAAATAATGTTCAAGAGCTGACACAAACCAACAAAGGCCAGAAAATGCATCCCGGAGGTTGACTATAAGGCCAGGCGAGAACGCTTGGGCGGGAGGGAGTTGACATCAAAGACTTGAGTTAATGACAATGCCAACCTGAACTGTGAATTCTCCCGCCTCGTGCCTGAGTATGTCACCACCGTAATGTGTTGTAATGTGAGTTTGGGCAATTAACGCCCAGAGGTAGTAATGTTTCCAGACAGGGTGCCCTTTAGTTCTGCTGACATGTATGTACGTGGATTTTTGGAGGAGAAGAGGATTGGGGGGTGGGTGTCTGTGGACAGGAAGACTGCATGAGTGATTGTACTCGGCTTTTACAATTGTGGCTAAATACCTTTTAGAAAGCAGTGCGGGTTGGGGGAAGAACTTAGCAAGCAGGAACACAAAGCACTTGCTACCTCAGCGAGGGACAAATTCAACATGACTGATGTATTTCAGGATAAGAAGCGAAGGCAAAGAGGCCTTGACACTGGCTGAAGTGCAGACTGAGCAGCTTAGCTGGGAGTAGAGGAAGGCGATGTGTGCAAGAGGCCAGCTTCAATCTGCATCCCTGGCAGAGGGTAACACAAAGCTGTGCTCTAGGGAGGAGAGTCTCAGCACACAGGCACCGGCAGGATGGCAGTCTGCTCCTCTGGGGCCATAGCAGTGAGGACCCGCAGATCAGGCCTGATAATGTGAAAGCTGGAAGCACTTCTTTTTAAAGCTCAAAATCCTTCTGCAAGGGACTGGAATAGAAATTTGTACACCCACATTCATAGCAGCATTATTCACAATAGCCAAAAGGCAGAGGCAACCCAAGTGTCCATCAGTAGAGAGCTGGATAAACAAAATGTGGCATGCACACAGAACAGATTTTATTTAGCCCCAGAAAGGAAAGGCATTCTGACACATGCTGCAACACAGACGAACCTCGAAGACATTATGCTAAGTGAAATAAGCCAGTCACAAAAAGACAAATGTGTTGAGATTCCACTTATCCAAGGTACCGAGAGCTGTTTCAGTCTGGGGAAATGAAAAAATTAGAGACGGACGGTGGTGATGATTGTGCAACAGTGTGAATCCCATACTTAAAAATGGTTAAAATGAGAAACTTTGTTCTATATTAATGTATTTTTTCCCAAAATTTTTAAAAATCTCCCTGAAACAATAGTGCAACAAACACATTATCTGCAAGATTTCTGTTCACCTTCATGTTGGAAGTCAAGATGTCATTCACAAGCTTGAACTGAGAGACTCCCTGGGACCAAGGGACATGCTGGACAGTGTGATGTGACCCATGGCTTATAAGAATGGTGTTTGTATGGCACACTCTCAGAGAGAGGGGTCTGAGTACGCAAACACAGGATTCTCCTGCACATACCTCTTATAGTCCAAACTCCACCACCCTCCTGCCCCCTGACCAGTCCTGTCCTCATGTCCCCTGCCTGCTCCCTCTGCCAGATACCTGGGTTCCTACTATACTCTCATTGTCACCCTGCACTCACCCATGCCCCCTGCCTGGACAGCCCCCTCCTGTGTCCCCTACCTGACCCACTCCTCCTCTTTCTACTGGGCCTACATCAAAGTCCATCTCCCCCGTCAGCCCTTCCAAATCCCTCCCACTTGCCCTTCTCTGCACTTCACGGCCTATAATCAATCACCTACTTAAGTATTAATACTATCTTTTCTTTTTTTTTGAGATAGAGCCTCAAGCTGTTGCCCTGAGTAGAGTGCAATGGCATCACAACTCACAGCCAACCTCCAATTCCTGGGCTCAAGCGATTCTCCTGCCTCTGCCTCCCAAGTAGCTGGGACTACAGGTGCCTGCCACAATACCCAGCTATTTTTTGGTTGCAACCGTCATTGTTATTTGGCGGGCCTGGGCTAGATTCGAACCTGCCAGCTCAGGTGTATGTGACTGGCGCCTTAGCCACCTAAGCCATAGGCGCCAAGCCTATTAATACTATCCTATGTTCTTGTCTGCAAGTTTGGCCTCTCCTAATACATCCCTGAAAAGACTCCCTGGGAAGGGATTGTTGCTAACAGTTATTGTCTTCTACAGGGCCTCACTCAAGGCCAAGTACATCAGGGCTCCTTGGTCTCTGGCTGGTCTACCCAGTACCCCACCCCATGCACAAAACACATCTGCTGGCTGCAACACCCTGGGGCTAGGTACTCTAGACGGGTGTTCAGTTCTCTCCAGTCACTTAGAGGTTGTAACTCAATGTGTGCAATAAACAACTGAACATTTACAGATTTTATTAATTTGGAAAGGTCATTAGAGCTAACAGCTTCTCTGAGTGACAGCGAATAAATAAACAGCATGAGTAAGTTTTTTTCAGTGTCTTGGATTTTTTTTCTTCTGAAATAAGCCTCAAAAAGTAGTGTTACCAGTGAAAAAAGAAAAAATATATATCCAGGCCTGGGAGACAGAAGGAGCCCAACAGGAGATCTGGACAAGTCTTGTCCCCTCTCAGACTGAAAAACCAGAGAGTACTCTCAACAATCCTTTCAATTTAAAACAAATAAATAATGATTCAAGGTGAGAAAGTGAAGTTAGCTAGTAACGTCAGCAGTTACTGTCTCACTCCCCCTCTACCCTGCCGGGGGCTGAGTAGCCCTTCCCCTCTGGACAGATAAGGGTTCATGCCCTCACGGCCAGGACAAGTTCTTAATCATTTCAGGTGCCTTCCCAGACTCTGACCTGGGTGCTCTCAAACCTTCCACCCTGCTCTCATTAGATCATTATGGAAGACTCAAGACTAATGACTTGTTTTCTCCAATCTCCAGGAATGCCTGCAAAGGGCAGAAGGGCAGCATCCAGGTTCCATGTCCCCAGTCCTTGGCTCTGTGACCAGCCAGCGCTGTCTGTCAAGGGCTGGCCTCCACAGGAAAGATGTCCTGGCTCTCCCCGGCAGGTGGAAAACAGAAGCAGCATTCAAGCAGCAGAACAGAGGGGCTCTGCCTCCAGCCTGCTGCCGTGGGGGAGAAACACTTGGCCCTTGAACAGACTGTGCCGTCAGCCAAGGCTTTTTATGACATCCGCCTCTTTCCCTATCACTGTTCCCTCTTTTCTCTGCCTTGGATGCAGGCAAACACTGGGAATGTGGAGGGGACCAACGTCTGACTGCAAACATGTGTCCACAAAAATATCCACACCCCATCTCTAGAGTGTGTGGGGCTTTCAGTAGCAAGGAGATTAAGCATGAATCAGAAGTAGTTAAATAACATTAATACTAATATTAACATTAGCAGTAATATTTGTTTTATTTCAGAAAATTACAGGTGTACAGGTTTTGGTTATATAGTTTGTGTTGTATATTTCATGTCAAAGAGCCCTTTACCCAGAATGTGTGAGGTATAACTATTAGATGTGAATTAACCCAAGCCTTCCTCCTCCAATTAGCAGTAATACTAATATTAACTAA